AAAAAAAAAAAAACTTTCACCCAAATCACAAAAACAAATAAATAAATAAAAAGAATAAATTGTCCCTTGTCAGGTTGATGTACTTTTCAGATAGATCTCAGTTGTGAAGATGGACAGAGCCGACTATCATAGCATTAACTTTCAAGTTATATAACTAATTCCCCTTGTTCTGATTCCATGCTCTGAGAAATTTTCTCATGCCCACAGAGAAAATATATGCTCAACAGGCCAATGCAAACATCTGGTTTACCTAGCAACTATATTTGTCAACATATATTTATATTAGCCTCTTGGTTAAATTGAGTTTGAGCTTGCCAAACTAAGGATTGGACCCTGGACCAAGATAATTTTACCAAGATAAATTCCACTTTGTGAGCCAATTAGACTTTCCCTGGTGACACTTCGCTCCATTAATAGATAGAGGTAGCTATTGCTGCGACAATATTGCATAACCAAGTAGCCAAAACAACAACCATTTACTATGGCTCACACACGTGCGCATCAGCTGGAATTTGGCTGATCTTGATTTGGCCAGACAGCTCTACTTCAAGCGAGAGTGTCTTGGGCAGCTCTGCTTCTCACTACAAGTCTATTGATTAAAGAAGCTCTTCTCCATGTATCATCCTTTTTAGACTAGTGGGATATCTAGTGATACTTGAGAGTGGCCAAGAATCGAGAGAACAAACAAAAACATGTGAGACCTTTTATGGTCTAGGTTCAGAAACTTCTGGCTCATTCTAACAGCCAAGTAATCAGCTGAACACAAAATCAAGGGGAGGGAAAATATATTTTGCTCCTTTAGTGAGAGGAACCATAAAGTCACATGGTAAAGGGCAAGAATATAGGGAGGGCTAAAGAACTGGGCTCTGGCAGCATAGTACCTAAGGAACCTGACTGCTAACCAGAAGAAGGCTGGTGATTCAAACCCACCAGCCACTCCTCGGAAGGAAGGTTGGACAATCCTACTTCTGTAGTGATACTGCCTCGGAAACCCAAGGAGGGGTCGCTATGAGTCGGGGCCAACTCGACAGCATATAACAATAACAACAACAACAAAGAACTGGGGGCAATAATGCAAGCTACAACACTAGGTTAACTGGTATACTTTAACAAAGTCAATCTGGACCAAGCTCTAGGGTATCAAAGGGACTCAGGGCATGATGTAAATGTTTGGGCCAAATGAACAGCTTCTGTCAGTTGTAGTAGAGTAATCTTGTGAATAAATCATTTTCAGTAGACATTTGGTTCTGTGCCCAATTATCTGTATACTTCCATAAAAATCTGTTGCATCTAACCCTCATAAAAGTGTTAAGATAACTGATAATGTTATCAAGAGTTAAATGAGTGTTAAGATAACTGATAATGTTATCAAGAGTTAAATGAAACTTTGAGGGACAAAGGTGCTTACTGAAGACCACACAGTAAGTGAAAAAAAGCAGGATTTGAAAAAGAGCATCAGATGCCAACTCAAGCAGTTCTTTTCATTATAGCAGTTCTCTTTTCGAATGTTTTGATAACCAGGAATTTCTAGAAGGAATGTGTGTTGAATGTGAGACAGTCTAATGAGGACATAAAGACAGGCTATAAACAAACTTGCCATAATGGTCACTCCTCATCCCACTGATGCTGCTGTTTTCTGCCGTAGCTGAGCTTCCCCACATTATCAGCTGACTCTAAAATAGATCCCTTCCACCTGGATTCAGGCTTATATGCCTAGAACTGCAGTGGCTCAAGGCCTAAGGAACAGCTCTACTTTCTTGATTTGGAAAGCAAGATGAGTAAGAAGAAACAAGCTGGGACCAAAACCCAGTCGTCCATGGAGCAGGTAGGGTTTCTGCTAAGCTTCACACAGCTTGGTTATGTGGGGAAAGGCAAAGAAATTAGATTGCTTTTCTCTCACTTAGTAGTCTTTGGACAAGGGACTGACTTTGTTATTCACATAGAATTGAAATTGCTTTGTTTACTCTAAGAAACATACCCCCAAAAAAACTAAACCACTGCTATAAAGTGGATTCCAACCAATAGCCACCCCCTCGTTAGGTTTTTGAGGAAATAAATCTTTATGGAAGTAGATTGCCCAGTCTTCCTTCTGCAGAGTGGCTGGTGGGTTTGAACCACCAACCTTACAACACAAATTACTGTGGAAGCTAGATGAGGGAGCATACATTGAGGGCTGAGTTGGTTATGAAACTTTCCAGAGAAAATGGAGTTATTCTTTCCTCAGAGAGTCATCTCCCTTCTACCACCAGTAGAAGGCTGAGCTCCATAACCTTCACTCCCAGCTCCCAACGTGTGGCTTGTAAAAAACAAAATCATTTCCTTGCTGAGTTCAGGAATACCCTTTGGCTCCTGGTGGAAGCTGCTCTCCTGTCAGCCAGGAGAATTCCACCTTAACTATCTTATCTTAATGCTACCCATGCTATGCCCCATAACTTGTCTTCCCTGCGTGCCTTCCCTGTCTGCTACTCCTGCTGAGGCATCTGTTCTCTGTATGGACCATCCCTTTCTTAGGAATAGCACAGAGATTGCAGCCCACGGACCCTCAAGTAGGTCCAGGTGCCTAGCCTCTTCCACTGGCCCACTTGTAGAATCTAGGGCGCTGGGTGAACTTGGAAATGCTGGGCTAGGTGCGCTGGGGAAGTAGGCGCAAGATGTTGTCCTGTTTTTATTGGCAGTGCACTCTTCATCAAATGTCAGAGAAACCACCTCCTCTGCCTTGATCTCTAAGCAAGCGGCTGAGCTCCCTGGAAGGCTAGAGGTGGGGGTATGGCTCCCCTCCGCATCTCACTCCCCTAAGGCCAGCCCTTGGGCTGGAGCCGAGCGCGCTGGAGGAGGCGGTCGGACGAGGCTGACCGAGGCCGACCGGGCAGCGGGGCTGCCCTCCCCGCAGTGACGTCCCAGGGGGCGGAGAAGCGGCGGGCTGGCCTCTTCCCAGTGCCCAGTCCGACGGTCCTCTGGAGATGCTGCTGCTGCCATCCGCGTCACACTTACAGCACACGCCGTTACTCTTCCGCCTGCTCCACCGCGGTAGCGCCCAGGCGTCGGAGGGGGCGTCGGAGCCGGGCCATGCAGCCAAGAGCCCTGCTGCTGGCTGCGCTGCTGGCCTTACTGCTGGCGGAGCCTCGGGGCGCGTCGGGCCGCCTGCTGAGCGGTGAGTGCGAGCGCTGGGGCGAAGCAGGGGCGCAAGCGGCCTGGGCAGGTGCTCCTCCTGCACTCTAGCTGCTGATGACCCCCTCTCGGTGACCGCGCCTCTTCCATGTCCCTCTCCCGGGTGGGGGGGGGTGGCATTGCCCTCCAAGCTCCCGGGTTTGGCCCTCCAGCGCCCCCTGCTTCCGGGGGAGCGACTGCCGGGCGCCTGAGCCTGTGTACAGTATCCCCGAACGCACGCGATCCGCATAGATTACTAGGGGTTGGTAGACGTAGGCTGGACGGGGCAGCGGGCAAACTTGCTCCAGAGACGCCTCCAACGAGCGCGGATCGGGAGTCCCCGAGATCCTCCAGCGGGACGGGCTCACTAACTAGCTCTCACCTCCCGCCCACTGGGAGAGGCAGCCTGGCAAGCAGAGGGCACAGCGGGGTTTCGGGATCCGCGGTGAGCGCTGTGAAAACCCTGTCTGTTAACTACTGATCTCTGCTTGAGGGCGAAGGCTGGTTGCAGTGCTTGAAATGAGATGGCTTAGAGAGCGGGAAGCAGGGGCCCTGGTGGCGCAATGTTTAAAACGCTCGGCAGAGGTCAGCAGTTGGAACCCACCAGACTCTTTATGGGAGAAAGATGAGGCAGTCTGCTTCCATAAAGATCTACAACCTTGGCAACGCTGTGAGGCAGTTCTCAGTCCTACAGGGTCGCTGAGTCCGAAAGGACTCCATGGCAGTGGGTTTGTCGTGGTTATGTAGAGACCGGGAAATAAGCCTATTTCTCGCGGAGGAGCTCCGCCTAACTCCGGTCAATGACTCTCTTTGCTTCCTTCCTCCTATCCTGTCACTGCAGCCACGGACTTGGACCTCAGAGGAGGTACAGTGTTCTGAATTCTTGCCTTTCTAGTTACTGTCTGCCCGGGGTAGGGAGGTTGGGGGTAGAGGGTATGGCCATGCCCCTTTCTTAGGCCCCCATCACGGGCGCCGGCTCAATGAGAGAGACGGAAGACCATAGAAACTGCTTCCACTCTCAGGTATCTCTGCTTGTGAAGCTGATTTAAAGAATCTAAAACTGGTTTTAGGATGGAGTGGAGTGCGAGGTTGTAAAAGGGGAGAGTAGCCAAATTAAGCTGCTCGGGTTAGGACTACATTGGCTCTGTCCTTGGTGGAGGGGTAGGAGGGGGACAGAAGGCCGCCCGCCCTTCCCCTTCCTGCAAATGAGAGAACACTTCCTGAAGGCAGGGGGGACCAGATGCGCCCTCGGGCCTCCGTCCAGCTTTGGCTCTCTCCGGTACCCTTCAGCTGACTCGTCATGTGTGGCCAGGCTGAGACCACACATGAAACACGCTTAAGGTGTTATTTTTCCTTTGACAATGTAAAAGTGGGGGCTGCCAGTAAATTCAACTCCAGCTTATGTTATGTAGGTGGCCAGGTTGGTGAGTTCCTCTTTCTAGTCATTCTCCTTGCCTCTGCTGCAGGATTTGGAACCCCTTAAGGAATCCTAGGGTAGTGCCTAAGGCACTTGACTGCTAACCAGAAGGCTGGCTGTTCAAATCCACCAACCACTCCTCAGAAGGAAGGTTGGGCAATCTACTTCTGTAGTGATACCACCTCAGAAACCGAGAAGGGGTTACTATGAGTCAGGTCTGACTTGAAGATACATAACAACAACAAGGAATTGCAAGGGATCCCTCCTAGCTCAGTGGTTAAAGCACTCTGCTGCTAACTGAAAGGTCATTGGTTGGAACCTACCAGACACTCAGCAAGAGAAAGATGTGGCAGTCTGCTTGCATAAAGATTTACGGCCCTGAAAAACCTTTGGGGCAGTTCTACTCAGTCCTATGAGTGAGAATGACTCCACACAGTGTTTTGGGTTTTAAGGAATCACTGATGGTCAGCCGGCCCAGTCTCCTCCTTAGGCAGCTCAAAGCCACAGCCTGTCTGGCTGCTGTTCTCCAGCCTCTCTGGAATACCTCTTTGATAAGACAGTCCTGCTTTTTGAGGCCTCCTACTTTGCTGGAGATGGGGCAATCTACTTCCGTAGTGATACCGCCTGGGAAACCCAAGGAGGGGTCGCTATGAGTAGGGTCCGACTCAACGGCACATATCAACAACAACAACTTTGCTGGGAAACAAGTCCATTTAGACTGGTCAACAGCAGAAGAATGACAGGGACCGAGAAAAGATGCAAAATCCTATCACTTGTTACTTATTAGAATTTCTATACAGAATTGATGAGAGAAATTGAAAATAAAAATTCACAGGAGCCTTCTGGGCTTATCTTTGTGTGCTCTGTTCCCAGTTAGCATAGATAATGCAGTTAACTGTGGCATTTTGCCCATTATTCTGGAGAGTTTGGGGAATGATGAATGCCATCTGGCTCCCTGCACAGCTGCAAAATAAGTTGGGAAAATGAGACCATTCCAGGCGGGCTAGTAAGAGGTTCCCCCAAACCAAATCCCTTATCCCTCACTCTGGCAGCAATTTACACCCACAACCCACAATTTGGCCCTCAAATTGCAGGAACTATCCCCTAGTTGAAATCTTGTTTTCACTTTTGTACACTTAGCTTTAGAAACATGCTATGTGATCTTGTGGGATAGAAACTGACATTTGTTTCTGTATCCCCAGCACCCAGCACAGTGCCAGGCACAGAGCATACATTCAATCAATGTTGATTGACCAGAGGAGTAACAAGGCTAATATTTCTGGCACAGCAAGACATCGGCCACCCAAAGATAAGCTAGAGCAGTGGTAAATGATTTATTATTCACTCCTCAATATAATCCCATCCATTTGTCTGAGATGGTCTGCGGCCCTTCATGTATCAGTCAGCCAAGACACATTACATGGGTTCCCAGTACAATTTGAGCCTGGGGTAGACCCAGAGCAAGCAGTTTAGTTCAATAATTCCCAGCATGACTTTGTAATTAGATCTGGGTTCTAACTCAGGCAAGGCCACTGATAGCTGTGTGACTTTAGCCAAATCACTTAATTTCTCTGAGCCTTAGTTTGCTCATCTGTAAAACGGGACATAAACAATACCTGCAAACCAAAACCATTGCTTTTGAGTCAAATTCCAACTCCTAGCAAACCTGTAGGACAGAGTAGAACTGCCCCATAGGGTTTTCAAGGCTTCTTTACAGAAGCAGACTGTCCCATCTCTCTCCTATGAAGCTGCTAGTGGGTTTGAACAACTGACCTTTTTTTTTTTTTTTTTTTTAATTAGGATTTGGGTGAAGATTTACAGAGTAAATTCACTACAACTGACCTTTTTGAGCAGCTGAATGCTTAACACTGCACAATCATAGCTCCTTACAACAATACCTACAGTTGGGGGCTTATTATGAGGATTAAATGAGATAAAATATGTATGTAAATGTAAAACCCTTAGCATCCCAAATCCATTGTCAGTCAAATCAATTCTAACTATTAGCAGCCCCATAGGATAGAGTAGGGCTTCCCAGGCTGTAATCTTTATAGCAGGCTGCCACATCTTTCCAGAAGCAACTGAGGGGTTCAAATTGCCAGCCTTTCATTTAGCAATTGAGCATTTAACACTGAGTCACCGGGGCTCCTGCTTTTAACATAGTTCTTGGCATATAGTAAGAAGTCAGAAACCTTAGCTGCTTTCTATGAGCCCTGGTGGTACAGTGGTTAAGTGCTAGGCTGTTAACTGGAAGGTATGCAGTTCAACCCCACCCAGCAGCTACACTGGAGAAAGACCTAGCAATCTGCTCCCATAAAGACTGCAGCCTAGGCAACCCTATGGGGCATTTCTACTCTGTCACATGGGGTCACTATTAGTTGGAATTGACTCCATGGCACCCATTAACAACCACAGGTATAGCTATAGGCAGGATCACAGGGATGATTGTCAGATGACAACCTCAAGGATCTGATGCTGTTAGCTCCTGGTTACACCAGAGACTGACTGAATTCTCAGTCCTGCTAGATTGGAAGAAGGTTCCAAGGTAGAGGAAGGCACACTTGACTTTGGATTGCCTCTCTTACATGAATGAACCACCAAACAGAAATACTTACTTTGAGCCACACTATTCCCTTAGACTCTCTACTGGCATGGAAGACTTATTTATATGTCTTTAAGTGAATTCATAAAGCTTCATATCTCTCTCTTTTAAAGGTTAGTTAAAAAAAAAAAAAAAAAAGCCTCCTTAATGGAAATAAACAGTGCATTGAAACAAAACATGGAGTCACTACACAATATAGGCATTGGAGTGTAAATCACTGCATCTCCATGCTGGAAGGGATATTAATTGGCTCTGAGAACCCTAACTGACATTGTAACAGTGGAGTGATGAGTAATCAGGATTTCTGCTCAGTTGTACTGTATTCAGATACCTCCACCTCCAAGCCTCCCTGCCCTGGTATACTCTTTGGGATGCTGAAACAGGTTGACTTCTTTTTTTCTAGGGCAGCCGGTCTGCCGGGGAGGGACTCAGAGGCCTTGTTATAAAGTCATTTACTTCCATGATGCTTCTCAAAGACTAAACTTTGAGGAAGCCAGAGAAGCCTGCATGAGGGATGGGGGCCAGCTAGTCAGCATCGAGTCTGAAGATGAACAGAGGCTGATACAAAAGTTCATCGAAAACCTCTTGGCTTCTGATGGTGATTTCTGGATTGGGCTCAGGAGGCATGAGGAGAAGCAAAGCAATAGCACACCCTGCCCGGACCTGTATGCTTGGACTGATGGCAGCACATCAAAATTTCGGTAAGTGTGGGGAATCCACAGTGGCTGACTTAAAAAGGAGGCAGGTTGGGTATATACCCCAAAGACCTGAAAGAAGGCATTCAAACATATACATGCACACCAATGTTCATAGCTTATCATTCATAGTAGCCTAAAGGTAGAAACAATCCAAGTGTCCATCAACAGATGAATGGATAAATGAATCATGGGCTAATCCATTCTCATTATGCACAGATTTTTCTATAAAATCTCCCAGAAAATGTTGAATTAGCAAATACTGAACCAGCCTTGTTCAGCGTCAGTTGAAAATGTTATAAAAGGCAACTCACATTCCCCCTCACTCTGTGCACTCACAAGTCCATGAATGCCTAGCAAAGGACCATGAATATTGACTTTGAGTTTACAAATAGATTTTAGCAAATAGGCAAATTTGAAAATATGGAATCCACAAATAATGAGTTGACTGTAAATACTGTATATACATACAATAGAATATTCAGCCATAACAAAAAATGAAGTTACATGCTACAATATTACCACCACCTGTTGCTGACCAGTAGATTCCAACTCATGGTGATCTCATGTATGTCAGGATAGAACTGTGCTCCACTGGGATTTCAATGCCTGACTTTTCCTAAGTAGAACCCTAGGTCTTTCTTCTGAGGTACCTCTGGGTTGACTCCAACCTCCAACGTTTCAATTAGCAGCCAAGTGCACTAACTGACTGTGCTATAACATTAGGCTGAGTGAAATAAGCCAGGCACAAAAGGATTAATATTATATGATCCCACTTACATGAAAAATCTAGAATAAGCAAATTCATAGAGCCAGAAAGTACGTTAGAGGTTACCAGGAGCTGGGGAGAGGAAAGAATGGGGAGTTACTGCTTTTTTCTGTTTGAGGGTAATGAAAAAGTTTTAGAAATAGATAGTGGTGATGGTTGCACAACATTGTGAATGTGATAAACCAAAAAAATCAAACCTCTTGCTGTCAAGTTGATTTCAACTCATAGTGACCCTGTAGGACAGAGTAGAACTGCCTCATAGGATTTCCAAAGCTGTAATCTTGTGGAAGCAGCCTGCCACATCTTTCTCCTGTGAAGCAACTGGTGGGTTCAAACCACCAACCTTCTGGTTAGTTACTGACTGCTTCACCATTGAGAGCTCTGGTAGTGTAGTGCCTAAGGCACTTGACTGCTAACCAGAAGGCTAGCAGTTCAAACCCACCAGCCACTCCTTGAAATGAAAACAGGGCAATCCACTTCCGTAGAGATAATTGCCTTGGAAACCCAAGGAGGGGTCACTATGAGTTGGGTCCGACTTGATAGCACATAACGACAACAACAGCTTCACCACTGCGCCACCAGGGCTCCTCATGAATGTGATTAATGCCACTGAATTGTACACTTAAAAATTATTAAAATAACTTTTATGTTATATATTTTACCACAACAGATTTCTCCAAAAGGAGGCAGGCTGGATCCACAGTACCAGATCAGTGAGGAAGAGAAGGCTCAGCTAAGCAGAACCCATCCAGCTAGCCAAAGCCCTGAGAAGGTTACCTCCTGCTAAGATAATAACACCCTTTCTTGTCTGTTGGTCCCTGGACACAAGATCCCAAAATGCCCAAATGGCAGCCATAGCTTATAGTTCAATAAGACTCCTGTTATGTCCTTTAGCAGAAGTATTCCTCCTTTGGGAACCAGGACTTCTAAACCCCATGTTGCAGAGACAACAAGCACAAATTCCCATCACTAATAGTGATGGTTAAGTGGAGTTCCTCCTGCTTTTACCCCATAGGCTAAGGAACCAATGTAGGATTGTACCAACCACCAAATATGTATTCATATATTTGGGAACTGGGGACTGACCACTGGGTGGATTCTTTTGTGAGCTAGACCAGGGTCAGTACTCCATTTAAGAATTAGTACCAATATGTCCCCACTCTAATGGGAGACCTTGATGATACTTTGTGTCTTCAGGAATCATTGTCAACTTCCATGGTAATATTTGTGTATACTCCTTTCCCCAGTGTAAAGTAGCCTGAGCAAATGGCCTAAGTACCTTTGGGGGAAGAACAGGGGAGACAATTACCATATTCACCTCCCTTCAGGGCTCTTTCTCCTGGAGACCTGGTCTTTCCCTCTAATTAGTGGGTTCTGAGTCTGAAAACTGGCTCAAGTCAAGAAACTATATGCCCAGCATAATGTTTCATCCATCCATGAAATGAAATAATATAAAGCCGTAAGGTCAGTGGGAGGGGAACAAGGCAAGTCAAGGCAAGAGGCCCCCAATGGTGTTGGAAACTGAGCTAGAGGTAACTAATGAGGTACAAAGCCCAACCTCTTATCTTTTTAGCAAATTCAACCCAGTGGGAGCCGCAAAGGATTTTCCTTTCAGTTAGACATCAACATGGGACTCAAGCAGAGCCAAACTGAGGTGCTGGCAAGAGGTCTGTCTGTTAACTGTCTCTTTCCTGAGGAGAGGCTCTGACAAGAGCTAGGCAGAACTGCAGGGCCCAGCTAAATAGTCTGAGAACCATAGCTTCAGAGGGAAACTGGACCCAGGGTGGGTGACCAGGCAGATTACAAAGCCCAGCCCTGAGCCAACATATGGGGTTGGGGCTCACAGCACTTAGACACTCTATAGTATCCAAGACTTTAACCTGGCACCAACATATCCAACTAGATGGCTGTCATTGTTAGTTGCCATTGAGTTGGCGCCAACTAATGGTGACTTTATGTATATCAGAATGAAACATTGCCAAGTCCTGTCCCATCTCTGGGAGCTCTGGTGGCATAGTGCTTAAGGCATTTGAGTGCTAACCAGAAGGCTGGCAGTTCAAATCCACCAGCCACTCCTCGAAAGGAAAACAGGGCAATCCACTTCCGTAGAGATAATTGCCTTGGAAACCCAAGGAGGGGTCACTATGAGTCGCAGATCCGACAGCAATGAGTTTGGTTTTTTTGGTTGGTCCCATCTTCATGATCATGCTGTTTGTACTCATTATTGTGGCTGTTGTGTTGATCCATCTCATTGAGGTTTTCCCTCATTTCCCTGACCCTCTACTTTGCCAAATATGATGTCCTGTCCAGAGTACCCTCTACATATCACTTGCAAATGCAACTGGCATTTGCTTCCAGATCGTTTAAGGGTTTTTAATTGGCTGTAAACCCATAGTGTCACCCAGACTCTTCCATCCTATCTGACTTAGATCTAAACTTGATCTAAACTTAGATCTAAAGTGATTTTTCATCTGTCCCTGAAGTCTTTCTAATCTGTTTCTGATTGGTCTTTCCTGATGACCTGTCCAAATTAAGCAAGACAAAGTCACCCCATCCTACTTCTAAGGAGCATCAAACCTTATGGATAACCAAGTGGTCAAGAACAAAAACCAAATCCACTGCCATCGAGTCAATTCTGATGCATAGCAACCCCCATTGGGTTTCCAAGGAGGTAAATCTTTGTGGAAGTAGATTGTCTAGTCTTCCTTCCAAGTGGCAGCACCACTTAATTCTAAGTACCACTGGATAGCAGAGCTGTCTGATGTGTCCTTTCAGGGAGCTGAGGCTGATGGAGTAGGAGGAGGAGGGGAACATCATCATCAGACTGCTCAGTTGAAAACAACCAAAAAATGGAAAAAGACCAAATGAACCTCCCCTAAGACAAGAGTTCCCACCCCCTCACCTGCTTTGACAGCCTCTGCATTTTGGAAAATCTTGCTCAGATGCCTGAATTTCTCCCTACTTATAAACACTCAGCTGCTAACCAAAAGGTCAACTGTTCAAACTCACCAGCCCATTCCATGGGAGAAAGATGTGCGATGTGCTTCTGTAAGGATACAGCTTTGAAAACCCTATGGTGCAATTCTACTCTGTCCTATAGGTTTACTATGAGTTGAAACAGACTCTACGACAATGGGTTGTTTTTGTCCCCCCCTCCTCAGGATTAGGAAAGCAGTTGTGGTTGTTGAAGCAGAGATGAGAGGAGAGCAAGCACAAGCTCTGGATGAAATAAGCCATGCCTCTTAGTGCAGCTGATCTCTCAAAAAAAAAAAAAATATAAAAATAGATATATATGTACATACATAAACAAAACCCAATTAGCAAAAACCAAGAAAGAAATCAGATCATCCAGACTGGTCCTGTTAGTTACTTTTTCTCATAATAACTTTGCAGACAACATATGGTGATATATTCCTCCCTGCAAAGAGGTTGTGGTAAGTGTCAGAAAATTGATGGTGACATCTGTGTTAGAAAGCAAGCAGTTCTACTTATTGGCAGTCCTTCAATTCCTCTTTTACTCTATATCATGTTCAGAAACAGAATCTGAAGTTCATGGCTTGCTGGAACCTAATGGGAAATAAAGGCTTTGAAGTTTTGAGGTATCCTCCCCTGTTGCCTTTACTCTTGACCCCTTTCCTGCAGGAACTGGTATGTGGATGAGCCATCCTGTGGCAGTGAGGTCTGCGTGGTCATGTACCATCAACCATCAGCACCCCATGGCATCGGGGGCCCTTACATGTTCCAGTGGAATGACGACCGATGCAACATGAAGAACAACTTCATTTGCAAATATTCCAATGGTAATGAATCCACTCCAAGCTATGCAAGTGAATTCTCAGCCTCTTCTCTCATTTCATAAGCAGCTGCTAGTACTGATTTGTGTCTCTCTGGGAAAGCTTGTTGCAAATACCAGCAATGTTAAATGTTTGGAGTTCTTGTCAAAAGAAACATAGTGGCATGTTCTTGGTGAGGAGCATTCTTACAAAGGAAAGGGGCATCAGCTGAAGTAAGGGATAGAGAAAGAAAAAGGTCTGATTTATTATGATAAAGCAAGAATTATTAAAACTTTCAGGACATAAAAAGCTCTCTACATGCACAACCCCAAATTCCTATTCTTTCTAACCGACCATTGCTCCTCAAGTCTTCTGATGGCTACATGAGATTATTTTCTGGGTTTTTAAGGAAACAGTAATGATCAGAGGAGGTAGAACACAGAATACAGACAGTCCCAGGATTACAAACGAGTTCCAGTGCTAAATCTGTCTTTAAGTTATATTTGTATGTAAGTTGGAACAGTTAGGTACAGTTCATATTTAATGTCAGCAATGTATGTCTTAGTATACAGTATTTAGTGCACCTTTCTATGCATAAAAAAATTATAGAAGCACTTCCAGATACACTAAAATGTCTTTAACAAAATAATGCCATAATAATAGCAATAGTGTTTTGCTACATGTCACAAAGTAGCACCCCTTTGTTATCAAGGGCAGATTACCCAATAAGCAAGGTAAGTACAGGCTTATTTGTGCTTATTTACTAATCTGTGATGATGTGGATTCCACCACATCATGTGGTTAAAAAAAAAAAAAAAGGTGAAACTGTTCACTGCTGATTAGTAAATTAGCACAAATAAATCCATGCTTACCTTGCTTATTAGGTCCTCAGCCCCTGTCAGGGATTGTAAATTTGAAAAGAGGTTTTGATTCTGTAGGAAGGTGCTTTGAGGCTGGGAGAGAGACAGATGTTAGCCATACCTATTATGTGGTGAATCTTAGCAGAATCTTTGATGTGGTGAAAATATGTAAAATTGTTCCCTACAGATTAGTAAACAAACACAAGGTAACCCTGTGTTTACCTAGTTTATTGGGTAATCTGACACTGTTTATTATTACAAACCATTGTATGTACCTCAAAATTTTAATATAATAGGCTTGGGGTTGGCCGCTGGGTTTGTAACTACAGGTTTGAAGTAAGTCAGACGTTTGTAGCCTGGGGGCTTTCTTTCAATTGTTTCACCAGCATTGGACAGAGAGAGCAAGCACTTTAATGATCAGACTTAAACTCCCCGGAGGACCCTCTACATAAGCCTTGCAAATACAATTTGCATGTGCTTCCAGATATGTTAAGGGTTTTGAATTGGCTACAAACCCATAGTCTGAATTTTTCAGACTCTTCCATCATAACTGGCTTAGATCTAAATTTGAAGTTATTTTTGATCCTTCCCTGAAGCTAACTGCTTGGCCTCAAGTCTGCATTCTTTCCTGGCAGGAATAGAATGACTTCTTAGTTGTACCTAGTTTAGGACTAAATAACCCTGTCATTTTTAAATGGTTCACATTTGACTGTGCTTTCCTGCAGTTTTGCTGCCAAGAGGTGTTGTTACTTTTCACCCCCTCAGATGAATCAGTGACCTGCCCCTCTCCACTTCACAGAGTTGTCTCAGGCAGGGGGACAGCAAAAGCTTAGGCTGGCTTACCAGAACAGTGAAAGCAAGGAACTTGTTGCAAACAGGCTTTCTGTCATCACATTTTATTAGCTTCCCAATTTAAAATTTTGTACTTTTAAACATTTTTTGAAATATGGAATTTGAATTTTGTTTTAATGTCCTTTTATTTTAGGACTTTGAACCTATTTGTTTGTTTGTTTTTTGCTTGTGTTTGTTTTGTGTTGTTTCGTTAACCATGCTCTATTGCTGTTGTTACTGCTCCTGAAGTTATATAAGAGAATGTGTGCCCTCTCCCCCCTTTCTGATACACAATGAAGTATTTAGAAGTAAAAGGGTGTCATATCTATAACTTACTTTCAGAAAAAAAATTACATAGATAGATAGAAAATAAGTAATTAAGCAAATGAATGTGGTAAAATGATTACATTTGGGAGATTCAGGTAAAGAATACATAGGAATTCTTTGTACTAGTTTTGCAAATTTTCACAAATCCGAAATTATTTCAACTTAAGTTGAAAAGTAACCTCCTCGGGGAAGCCTTCCAGAGCCCCTCAAAACTAGGTTAGGTGGCCCTGCTGTACGAATCATAGCACTTCACACCCTTTAACTGCCTATTTATAAGTTTGTTCCCTTTACTACATGGTTGACATGAAGTCTGAAAACATGCTGTATTTGATTAATTAATGACTGCATTTGAAGGCCACCCAGTGTGGTCCCAACAAGATGATACACCATCATCCCATTACTCCATCCACTCCAGAGTGGCAATGAGCTTGTGGAATGATAATTACTAAAGCTGGAATTGACATTGTGGCTGTGTAGAATGGACTACATGCTATCCAGATTGGAACCCCATGACCACTCCTTTTGGGGAGTGTTAAAAGCACAGATGTATTCAGTGAAAATCAGAGACAGATCATCTGAAGCAATGCATCACAGATGCATGTTCAGGGATTGATGAAAGTGCTGCATTAATGAACCATATTTATTGCAACTTTGCACAGTAGTTTAAACTATGGAGAGACAAAAAAACAAACAGATTATGTAATGTCATTGAATATAATATGGACTGTAATGAAATGAATATTAATTAATATTCTCCTGTATTTCCAGATTTTATGGCCATCCTATAGATTGTAGTGCCTTAGAGGACTGGGATCATTTCTTATTTCCTGTTGTATCCCCAGGAGCTCTGGTGGTGTAGTGCCTAAGGCATTTGACTACTAACCAGAAGGCTGGTGGTTCAAACCTTGGAAGGAAGGTTGAGCAATGTACTACTTCCATAGTGATATGCCTCGAAAACCCAAGGAGGGGTCGTTATGAGTCAGATCCGACTCAATAGCAGTGCGTTTGGTTTTAGTTGGTTGTTATCCCCACTGCCTAGCTCAGAGTTTGTCTCCTTAGTATTTTAATTTTGATTCACTTGGTCCAGTCTCTTTTCAGCTGTGAGATCTTGGGTAACTTCCTTAATTTCCTTGTTCCTCAATTTTCTTGTGTAATAAACAAAAATAATAATAGCACTTACCTCATAAGATTATGAAGATTAAATGAGTTAGTTTTTATAAAACACTTAGAGCAATGCCTGTCATATTGTAGTGTTTAAATAAGTGTTTAAGGAGCCCTGGTGGTTCAGTGGTTAAACACTTGGCTGCTACCCAAAAGGACAGCAGTTTGAACCCAGCAGCCACTCCATGGGAGAAAGATGTGGCAGTCTGCTTCCATAAAGATTTATAGCCTAGGAAACCCTATAAACTCACTGCTATCAAGTCAATTCCGACTCAGTGACCCCTTTTGGGTTTCTGAGGCAGTAAACCTTTATGGAAGTAGATTGCCCAGTCTTCCTTCCACGGAGTGACTGGTGGGTTGAAACCACTAACCTTCTGGTTAGCAATCAAAATGCCTTAGGCACTATGCCACCAGAGCTCCTTAGGAAACCCTATAGAGTAGTTCTAATCTGTCCTGCAGGGTTGCTGTGAGCTGGAATCAACTCAATAGCAATGGATTTTAATGGAATATAAGTGCTTATTTTTTTCAAATAAATAAGTAAATATGCTTCACCTCTACACATACACACACATATGGAGAGAGAATTAAAATTCCTATCCTTTCTGAATGAGACTTGAGAGTAAGGCTTGATATCCTGGCTTTAGGACTGTGATTCCTAACATCTTACCCATAAACCCCAGAGCGTCTGATCAGCATAAGAGACTCATTGTCAACAGAAGGGGATGACACACTCCCAGCAAGAGCAAAGGCATTGGATGCAGGTTGTGTCACCTGACTTTCCTGAGGCTCTTCAAAATGTTTAAAATAACTCAAGGTTCTGGGTCACCAGTCTCTGTCTCAGAGCTAGCCAGTGGTCCACTTAGCCCCTCAACTACTTTCACTGCTTGGAAATCAGGGTATGTTGTTCCCTAAAACATCCTCAATATGAATTGATAAGATGTCCAGGATTTGCTTTAAAATAATCCAGGCCAAGGGTGGGATTATTATTATTGAAACTAGATTATCCACATGTTTAATATGGTTGAAGGTTCATAATGGTGCATGGAGATTTGTAATAACAATCATTCTACTTTAGTATATTTTTGGAAATTCTCATATTTAAGTTTTAAAATATATTTTTAAAGAAAAGCACCTAATAAATCTGGGAGAGAGCTGGTCAGTTCTGATACGTCACCTCTGGTCTTTGTGCAGAAGTGATTATTTTGACTTTCCTGACCTGGTTCCTGGCATCTGCTAACACTAGATAAAGTTTTGGGTTTTTTTTCTTTTTAAATGCATTTTATTGAAATATAATTTTTGTACAGTGAAATACACAAAACTAAAGTAACACTAGATAAAGTTTGTTTGGATGACTGAATGAACAAACAAATTAATTCTGTGCTCGGGTCAATTTTGTTCAGATCATGGAAATGTAATTATTTTCGGTTTTGTTTCTTTCTACTACAGAGAAACCAACAGCTCCTTCTACAAGGCCTAGAGGTAAGCCTGTTGTTTGAGATTTGGTTTAGTTTGGGTTGTTTCCCAGCATGGTAACTGAACATTTGGCAGTTCCTGTGCACCTAGAGGCACTTCGGAAGAAAAGTCTGGCTATCACCTTCTAAAACATCAGCCATTGAAAACCCTATGCATGTAAAATAGACCCAATTGTGCTCTGACATACATGAGGTTGTCATGAGGTGGAATAGACTACATGGCAACTGGTTTGGATTTTGATTGTCTTCATAGGTTTAGAAACACATTCTTTAGACCAGATTACTCAACCAAAATAACACTGGTATTAACAGATAATTTGGACAGGTGTACACCACAGCCAGCCTTAATCTCTATAACCAAACCAAACCAAACTTACAGCCGTGGAGTCGGATCCAACTCATAGCGACCCCTCCTTGGGTTTCTAAGGCAGTATCACTAAGGAAGAACATTGCCCAATCTTCCTTCTGAGGAGTTACTGATGGGTTTGAAGTGCCAGCCTTCTGGTTAGCAGTCAAGTGCCTTAGGCTCAAAGTTGAAAAGTAATAGCTGTAAATTCAGTTTGGGATAATAATAATAATAATTTCATCTAATGAGACAGGAAGTAAGCCAACAGATAATTTATGATCCTAGTAGTGAATCACTGGCCCTTTCCCTTGGCACCTTGGTATTATATGTGCTTGATGCCAGCAGCTTGTTGACATGATCCTTGGCAGCAAGAGCTTCACCAAAAAGATGAAGACAATGAAAAGTTCTAGGGCAGAAAATTCAACCCATTACTTTTCTATCTTTATAACTTGCTCTGGTAAAATTGGCATTGCTTTTCGCATCCCACCCTGGCCCTGGTAGGACCTGAGAGAACACCTGGATTATGATGCCTTTTTTCAGGTTCCCAATCTATGTGTCTCTTTCTAGGTGATGGGACAGATCCAGCAAGCCAGCAACCCATAATTCCAGAAGATACACAGAAAGAAGATGCCCGGGAAACATTTAAAGAAAGTAAACATCTGTGTAGAACTCTCCTGACAAATAGATAATGGGACTCTTCTGATCACACATTCATTGTCAATGGTTAACAGTTCTTACTTTGTTCTTTCTCACAGCTACTAAAAAATGGAACTAGATGTCACATCTGTGTCTTTGCAAAAACTGCATTAAATGTTAGATGTCATCAGTGAAGGATGCAAATGGAGCTATCCTAAGACAATTAGACTAGACAGGAGGTGAAAAATTGACATGAAGATGGAGCCTTGGGAACCACTCAGAGAATGGAGTGGGAAGAGTGAGAGGGGCATGACTGAGAGAGTGGATATAGAGAAGAGCGAGCAGAAAGACCCAGGTTATGAGGCATAACATCCATGATTAATAGGCATCCGTGATCTCTATATGGGATCAAATTGACAACAACAACTCAAAAAGGTTAGATAGGAAGCTTAGAGGGCAATGAGTTTGTGCTAACAGGGGAGGAACTACTCAGTAAAAGGAGGTGAGAATAGTTGTACATTGAATGTAATGAATGTCACTGAATTTTACATGTAGAAACTTTTTAATTGGTGTATATTTTGCTATGTATATTCTCAACAACAAAAAATATAAATAAACTTTAAAAAAAGGCATTCATGAAACAAATAAAGGAAATGGATAAAACATTTTAGAAGATAAATCATAAAAGGTAGAAGAAAATGAGGTGATAAATCCGAGTGCTAGGCATCTGGGTTGTTGTCTCTAGGCAACCTTAAAAAAACCATTTAATTTCTCCATTTAATCATTTGTAATATAGAGTAATACTCTTCTTACCTACCTGAGAGCATTACTGTATCCATACATTGGAATAGGACGTAATGCGTGGAAATGATTTCAACAGGGACAAAGTACTGCACAAAGGTGGGCAGCGTGTTTATTGCTCCTTGTTATTATTGGAAGTATTTTAAATGTTCTTGGGGGAGGGGATTTAAAGTTGTCGGGTTTGTAGTCTCACAGAAACACAAAGGAAAGTCCTCCGGATGGTTAGGAATCTTGGATCAGTGAGAGGAGGAAGATAGTCAGCCCCCAATCCTTGATTTGCCCTGAAGCTCCTCAAGGGAAAATTCCCTGGTTCTAAGTTTTAAAGGAGCTCTGGTAGCATAGTGCCTAAGGCACTTGACTGCTAACCAGAAGGCTGGCGGTTCAAACCCACCAGCCACTCCTCGGAAGGAAGGTTGGGCGATCCTACTTCCGTAGTGATACCGCCTCGGAAACCCAAGGAGGGGTCGCTATGAGTCAGGGCTGACTCGACGGCATATAACAACAACAACAACAAGTTTTAAAGGGAGGACATCAATGGTTCAGTGGTAGAATTCTCACCTTCTCTGTGAGAGACCCAGGGTCAATTTCTGGCCAATGAAACTCACGCACACCCACCACCTGACTGTCAGTGGAGGCTTGTGTGTTACTATGATGTTGACTAGGTGTCAGTACCATCCATTGACAACTATACACATCACAATGGTCTGATCCACAACCAATCATGGGGATGGCACAGAACTGGACAGCATTTCATTCCCTTGAGCATGGATGGGGTCACCATGAGAGTTGGGCTAACTCAATGGCAGCTAACAATAAGTTTTAAAGGACCAGTGAGAAAGCAGGCTAAGAGTTCTTCACAGTCATTACTCATGGACTCAGTCAGTCTTAGCCAAAAATGATGGGAAGGCTTTAGTCTAATTCATGCACTTCATGTGGCCTTCTCTTTCCTAGTAATAACACTGGGACTTTGGTTTGCTTTCTTCTTTCTTCCCTTTCCCCACCCCACCTTTGGGAACCACAGTGACTGTCCTCAGAGGCAAAGGCATCAACAGAGCCCAAGCAACCCCTGCCTTACTAAGGGAGAGAAAGGATAAGAAAAGAGAATCTCCTGGGGGGGGAGGGGCGGGTAATTTATAAAACTTCCCACCTGAGACCCAAAAGTTCAAACTTCTTATTATTGTTGTTAAAGAGCCCTGATAGCACAGAGGTTAAGCACAGCTGCTAACTGAAAGGTTGGTAGTTCAAACCCACCAGCCACTCTGTAGGAGAAAGATGAGGCAGTCTGCTTTAGTAAATATTACAACCTTGGAAACCCTATGGGGCAGTTCTACTCTGTCCTGTAGGGTTGCTATGAGTCTGAATTGACTCGATGGCAACAGGTTAGGTTATTGTTTTTGTTAAGTGCCATCCATACAGTCAGGTTCCATTCATAGTGATCTTATGTGACAGAGTAGAACTTTCCCCATAGAGTGTTCTAGGCTGTAATCTTCACAGAAACAAATTGCCAGGTCTTTCTCCTGCAGAGCCACTGGGTCGGTTTGAACCTCCAGCCTCTTGGTTAGCAGCCGAATGCTTAAACATTGTGTCACCAGGGCTCCTTATTCCCACTATCATCTAGATAATAGGACAAGTAGAAATGCTCATTTATTGATACTAGAAAACGCTTTGCTTTCTGAGTAACTGCATATCTATTCCCTTCCAAGCATGTGCTCACACATGAACATTTCTAATGCTGAGAATGTGCACTTTTCCTTTCAGAAGCTGCCTTGAATCTTGCCTACATCCTAATCCCCAGCGTTCCCCTTTTCCTCCTCCTTGTGATCACCACAGTTGTATGCTGGGTTTGGATCTATAGAAGGAGGCAAGTAAAACCTTCTTGTGTAAACCTTTGTGTCTTCTGCATTAGGGACATTCTTTGAGATTTGGACATTGCCCTTTTCATTTCATTAAAAGCCTTGGCAGCTCCAAGAGAATCACCATTGCTGAGTTGAGAATAAATTCTCTGACAGGCTCAAAGAATTCAGACGTACTAAGCATTTTGTGCCGGAGCTCTGGTAGTGTAGTGCCTAAGGTACTTGACTGCTAACCAGAAGGCTGGAGGTTCAAACCCACCAGCCAGTCCTTGGAAGGAAGGTTGGTTAATCTACTTCCATAGTGCTACTGCCTCAGAAACCCAAGGAGGGGTCACTATGAGTCGGGTCCGACTCCACAGCAGACGACAACAACAATAACAACCAGCTTTGTACATCATTATGATAAGAGAGTGATCTTACATACTTTGTGTTGGGGGGAGGGTTTTAATGATGTGAGGGATGGGTGAAGCTGTATTATTTACCCAGCAGAGTGCTCTCATGCATGTATTTTTAATGTAATTTTACTCAGAAAATTCTTGTTGAGTGAGTGAGCAAAGGACAGGAGGGTGAGCCAAGGGGCAAACAATGGTTCCAAAATATTTTAGTAAAAATCTGAAACTAAACCACTTAATTCAAAATGAAACAGCCAAAATCCTTTTAACTGACTTTTCTTTCTGTTGTTCACACAAGTGTAGATTGCTGCAAATAGCTACACTAAGCCTCCTGGAGTACTCTTGCTATTATGGGCCACCATTCTTAGTCAAATCTAATTTAGTCAATTCTAAATTAGTCAAATCTAATTTAAGAAGTGGTGGCTCTCTTTGATTGCCAATTTAAGATGCATTAGTAAGATTCCAATGTAGGACCAACCTCAGTTAATAATAAATTCCTTATAGAATTGTTATAAGAGTTAAAGGAGATAATGCATGCAGAACTGGCATATAGAGAGCATTCAAAAAATGTTAACCTTATTATGATTGCTTTTTATTACTACCTTTTACCCTAAAGTGTAGAACTGAGTTCAAAATGTTACTAATTCATTTTCCAACTGCTTACTCTGCTGTTGGTTCTTGACTTTTGGTCCCCACCCCCCATCTGTTTAGCACGTCCCTGGGTTTTGGTGGTCCATGACTCAGAAGCTGGGGGGCTTTATCCTCTTTTGTGCCATGGACCCCTTTACCAGTCTGGTGAAGCCTGTGAACCTCTTCCCAGAATGATATTTTTAAATGCATAAAATAAAGTACATCAGATTGCAAAGGAAGCATTTATACTGATCTATTGACAGAGGGAGCTCTGGTGGTGTAGTGCCTAAGGCATTTGACTGCTAACCAGAAGGCTGGCAGTTCAAACCCACCAGCCACTCCTTGGAAGGAAGATTGGGCAATCTATTTCCGTAGCAATACTGCCTCAGAAACCCAAGGAGGGGTCACTATGAGTTGAAATTGACTTGATGGCAGTGAGTTTTTTTTTTTTAAATTGTACAGCAAAATATTTCCAAAACTGAATTTGAAATACAATAATTTTATTTTTATTTTTTTATTAATACTTCTTTATTTAATGGTAGGTATAATTATCATAGGCGGTCTGGTGGCATAGTGCCTAAGGCATCTGACTGCTAACCAGAAGGCTGGTGGTTCAAACCCACCAGCCACTCCTTGGAAGACTGAGCAATCTACTTCTGTAGAGATACCACCTCAAAAACCCAAGGAGGGGTCACTATGAGTCAGAGTCAACTCAACGGCAGTGAGTTTGCTTGTTTGTATAATTATCATAAGGTCCCTGGGTGATGCAAACGATTTGTGCTCGGCTGCTAACCAAAGGTTGGCAGTTTGAATCCACCCTGCGGCTCTGCAGAAGCAAGCCCTGGTGATCTACTTCCACAAGAAAACCCAACCCCGTGGAGTACAGTTCTACTCTGGCACACATGCAGTTGCTGTGAGTCAGACTTGACAGCCACAAGTTTACAACTGCCATAATTTTGAAGTAGAGATGAGCATAACATATATTTCAGCACATTTATAATAATGATAGTGTGATAAAAAAAAAAAAAAAGAAGTATCTGTGATTTCTGTTGGTGACAAAGCTACAGCTATTACTAATTCTACTGTAGCTTACTTTCTATGAGTCAGATCCAATTCGATGGCACCTAACAACAACAACAACTTACTTTCTACATTCATAATTGAAAAACAAAACAAAAAAAAACCCACACTCACTGCCATCAAGTTGATTCTGACTCACAGCAACCCCCACTGGGTTTCCAAGGCTGTAAATCTTTACAGAAGCAGTCTGCCCCACATTTCTTCCACAGAGTGGCTGATGGGTTTGAACCAACGGCCTTTTGGTTAGCAGCCAAATATGCATTAACCACTACATTACCAACCTCCCTTTCATCATTGAAAGACATGCTAAATTTCAATTAGAAGTGAGTTTTTTGAAAATGTGGTATTTCCCCCCACCCATTTCTATCCATAGACCCTTTGAAGGTTCTGTGGATCCCAGGATATTTACCCCTGGCCTACACTCTAGCAGCAGTGAATGATAAGAGTCCCGATTGTTTTGGCCATAGCAACACTTTGCTCTATTTTGTCCCCTCCACTCTAAAGCTCTAGCTTGTAAGTTGCAGTAGGTAGGAAGGGCACTTTGGTGAGGCTGCCCAGGATACTTTCTCTTGCCTGAACAGATGAGCACAGGGACCGCTCAGTCTCCTTATGGCTAAAATACTCAGCCCTGATTTGTTTTGTTTGTTTGTTTTTCCCCTAGAACACAGGAGCAGCCAGGTTCTAGCACAAAGGAGCAACACACCATCTGGCCATCTCCCCACCAAGGAAACAGCCCAGAACTGGAGGTTTATAATGTCATAAGAAAACAAAGTGAAGCTGATTTAGCTGAGACTCGACCAGACCTAAAGAATATTTCATTCCGTGTGTGTTCAGGAGACGCTACTCCTGATGACATGTCTTGTGACTATGATAATATGGCTGTGAACCCATCTGAAAGCGGGTTTGTGACTCTGGCAAGCACGGAGAGTGGATTTGTGACCAATGACATTTATGAGTTCTCCCCAGACAGAATGGGAAGGAGCCAGGAGTCTGGATGGGTGGAGAATGAAATATATGGTTATTAGAATGCATGAAAAAACTCGAACTGACAAGACTGGGAAAGAAAAAAAAGAAGCAACATTTTGTTTTCTACAAAGGAAAAGACTCAGAAGGTCTATGGAAATACTTAGCTTGGTGAAACTCAGATGAGGTTTTGGAGGTGAGCATGTGATCCCCATAGGCCCCTACTGGATCCCCAAGTTTTGACGATATTCCTTATTTCACCCTCTTACTCAGCTCGACCTTATGAGAAAGCACCTTGCTCAGGGTTTGGCACATAGTAGATTCTCAGCAAATACTGTTGGTATTGATTGTAGCTGTCTTTCAAGGAACAGTGCTATAATTAGCAGGGATAAGAATTGTGATGTGGAGCTTGGGCGACCTCTGGGTTCTGTTGCTCCTGCTCTTTACAGTAGCACACATAATCACAAAGAGATAGAAATTATAGCATCATTGTTGTTGTTATGTGCCGTCGAGTCAAACCTGACTCATAGCGACCCCTCCTTGGGTTTCCGAGGCAGTATCACTACGGAAGTAGGATTGCCCAACCTTCCTTCCGAGGAGTGGCTGGTGGGTTTGAACCGCCAGCAATCTGGTTAGCAGGCAAGTGTCTTAGCCACTATGCTACCAGAGCTCCCTATAGCAACATATAGGTATATATATGTGCGTGTGTGTGTATATATATATATTTTTTTTGTTTGTTTGTTTGTTTGTTTGTTTGTTATTAAGAATATACACAGCAGAACATACACCAATTCAACAATTTCTACATGTACAATTCAGTGACATTGATTACCTTCTTCAGGTTGGAAATTCTAACATCTTTTGAAAGCCCGTGGATGGTAGCAGCAGGCTCGCCTGCACATCAGCAATTCTCATATCTGGTTGTTGTTTTTTTTATTTTTTTTTTTATTTCCCCAAAGAATAAAGTCAAAAGCAGGAAGCAGAATGTTAGTCACTCTCCATCTACAGCCCTTCCTCTGCATGTGGCCTCAGGGGACCCTTTTTTTCTTCCTCGGAGCATCCAAACTTGGAAATAGCCAACTTAGAAACACTTTAGAAACTAAAAATGAAATTTGAGTCTAAGCTTCTAGGCTTATTTCTCCTCTCATCCCTGGTACTGCATATCATTCTGTTTGTGTTTGTTTTACTGTTCCATCAACGTCCTATTCAATGATGATGATGATTATACTTTTGCTTTAGAGACCTGACTATTTCAAATACTTTTGGACTCAAATCTAGAGGAAAATATCTTGACCTAACATCAATCATTTACACTTTGAAGGACTGAAAGCCATTATTTAAACCATGAATAACCTTCCCTCTGTTGGCTTAATCATCTTATTATTTTAACCTGTCTTCATCCATCTTAATTTTGAATAGTCAACATCTTCACCTCACATAAGGAGCCTCAGCCTAGACAGAGTTAACTAGTCTGGGTCAGATCAGTGTCGAATGTAGTGGATTATCATCACAGCCCAGTCACATTCCCTCCTGAGGCAGAGTACAGGGCAAGTAACAAAAAACATCACAACTGCTTCTGGGAAGTATGTTTGGTAATCAAATAGCATGTCCTATGGATTTGCCGTATTTCAGGCAAAAACAGCGAACACATACTCTTACAGACTGAGTCATTGCTCTAAAATATCCAAGTTCTCATTTTGCTTCAGACTTGCTGCCTCTACAATCTGTCCCTTTCCCTTCACTGTGCCCCATTCCTCTGACCCCTACTAGGGTGCAAGATCCATGAGGTTAGGAACCCAGCTGCACCCTTAGCATTGTACCTCCTACACCCAGGACAGTGCTTTGCACAGAGTGATCAGTATTTGTTGAATGGATGGACAATTCATCTTTCAGACTGATGTAAAATAGCCTAAAACTGCCAGTTTAAAAGTTTGTAGTACTTCTTTTTCACACTTCCCCTGAGTGGAGGTGGTAACTGAAGCACTCCTACTGCCTAGGAAGAAGAAAGCATAGTAACAAGTAAACCAAACCCAACCCACTGCCATCGAGTCAATTCTAATGCATTGTGACACTTTAAGACAGAGCAGAACTGCCTGATAGGGTTTTGAAGGCTGCAAATCCTTATGAAAGCAGATTGCCTCATCTCTCTCCCACAAAACAGCTGGTAGATTTGAACCACCAACATCTGGATAATAGCTGAATGCTTTAGCCACTATGCCACCAAGGCTCCTAGTAAGTAAACAGAAGCTGGTAAATTGTGTAACAACTTTATGTTCCTAAAACTTGAAAAGAGGACGCACCCTTAATCTGCAAAGAGAATAAGGTTATAATGAGAGTGGACTTTTCAGCATTTTCCCTTTGTCATTAGTATGATCTCCACTGAGACCCAAAATTTTCTTCCTCTGTGTTTGCCCGCAGCCAGTCTGCTCCATACTTTAGTTACACAATGTCTTTTTTCCTCCTCAGACCTACTAGCCTGAGTTTATTCAACACTATCTATCCCTAAAAATTGCATTTCATTTATTTCACGAATATTTGCAAATATCAGGTGTCATGTTCAAACTGAACATTGAGCTTTTTCATCCAAGTATAATTTGGAAATTCAGTGAACTCATTTAAAACCATAGTTCCCAACTTTTTATTTCCATTAGCACACACATGATAGACAAAATGCATGTATCAGATAATTCCTTGCGTCTATGTGTTCAACAAAAATTTCTTGAATACCTACTATGTGCCAAGTACAGTGCTATGCCTGGCACACAGCCAGGTTTCAGGTGACGACTTAGATAAGCTGGCTTGTAGGTCATGTGCATTCCCAATATGGTAGCAGTAGCAACCTCTCTTTTTTTCTCATTTTATTCATTCATTCACTTATTCAAAAAGTTTTAAATGCCTACTCTGTGTCAGGAATTATGCAAAGTATTATGGTGTTATGGGTAGAACTGTGTGCCCCAAAATATATGTTGAAGCCCTGGTACCTGTGAATATGACCTCATTTGGATATAGGGTTGTTAACAGATATAACTAAGATGAGGTTAGTAGGGTGGACTCTAATCTCTTCATGCCTAGGGTCCTAATACAAAGAGAAAAAGAGACACAGTGTTAATTTCCTGATTTTTATTATTATGAATTATCAAAAAGAATGCCCTGTTTGTAGGAAATGCACACTAAAGAAGTAAGGGATGATGGGACATTGAGTGGCAACTTACTGTCAGATGGTTCTAGGGGGGAAAAAAAAGCTGTACTGTACTTGCAACTTTTCTCTTAGTTGGAAATTGTTTTAGGAAAAACATTTGCAAGCATTGATACCAATTACTATTGGTAATATTACTTGTAGTACACCTTGCTTCCAACTCAGCACACCAGTTTGTCCTGATGTTGTGACTGAGAGTGTCTAACAGCTCCTGATCCAAGACAAAAATGAATCATTGCTAAAGCTGTCCATCAGCACACACTCCCCACCCCACCCCAGGTTCACACCCAGCCACCAATGCATCACCTTCGCTGTGTCCTTGCAAGAGCCAGGATTAGTACTTTCTGATTAGGATTAACACCACCACCCCTAACAGTCAATTCAACCATTCATTCCTTTCCTCAAGATTTCCCCATCTTTGTCCTGAGAAAATGCAAACCAATTGTGTTATCTAGACGAGACAAGCATTAAAATGTCTTTCAGCTCTAAAATTAGTTGATTTCTATATGATTTCTATTAGCTTATCATTGATTTAGGGAGCTCTGGTAGCATAGTGGCTAAGGCACTTGATTGCTAACCAGAAGGCTGGCGGTTCAAACCCGCCAGCCACTCCTCAGAAGGAAGGTTGGGCAATCTACTTCCATAGTGATACTGCCTTGGAAACCCAAGGAGGGGTCACTATGAGTCGGGTCCGACTCGACAGCACAAAACAACAACAACAACAGTATTGATTTGTCATGCCGACATTACTTCTGAACTTGTGGTAAGACATGTCTGCTGGTGGATAGCAGCTGAAAACGCCAAAGGGAGTCTTAAGAAACTGCACACCCAAAGATGGAGAAGCAATGAGCAAATTATTCTGCATAGCCTCCCATTTTCTTTCTTCCAAAGAGCAACTGTACAGGCATTTCCCCCCACCCAGCCATTATGGACAACTCCTACTTGCCCTTTAATATTATGTAAATTTGCCCTCATTTTGATGTGATTGAACTAACACCTACCAAAAAAATAAAAAAAATAAAAAACCTACTACTGTCAAGTCAATTTCACCTCCTAGTGCCCTTATAGAATAGAAGTGCCCCATATGGTTTCCAAGGCTGTAAATCTTTATGGAAGCAGACTGCCTCATCTTTCTCTTATGGAGAGGATGGTGGGGCTAACCTTTGGTTAGCAGCCCAGCACTTTAACCACTGTGCCACTAGAGCGCCTTACTCTCTACTTCCAACAAATTCTTCCTCACAATCACTTTCTTCACTTGCTGCACATAAATCTTTCAAATCATTGAAAAGCCTTCCAATCTTTTCTTGCCCTGAACTAAGGCTAAGTAAGAACTGCATGCATCTGGTCTGACTTACCTACAAATTCTTAAAGACACAGTTTGTTTGCAAATGGCTTGTTGTTTTTGCTGCTGCTGCTGTTAGTTGCCATCCAGTAGATGCAGACTAATAGTTACCCATGTACATGGTTACTAACTAACTTTAAATTATTTTTAGATCCTGAATTTGAACAGTAGAAAGAATTGGTGATTCAAAACAAGGGCACCAGGAGAAACCAGTTTTTCAAAATAGAATAAGGGCAACTTAAAAAAAAAATTATTAATTTGATTCCAACTCTTGGTGCGTCAGAGTGAAACTGTGCTCCCTGGGGTCTTCAATGGCTGATTTTTCAGAAGTGTATCTCCAGGCTTCTCCTTCAAGGTACCTCTGGGTGACTCAGACCTCCAGTCTCTCAGTTAGCAGGTGAATGCTCAGCCATATGCTCCATCCAAGGACTCCAAAGACCAGGTAAGTTTTCAAAAATATAAATAAATCTGTTAAAGATGTATTATCACAGAAGAGGTGCTCAAGAGTTTTCTATGATCAGTTG